TATTATTATTATTATTATTATTAGCTTAGCTTCGCGAAGAACATGATCAAGGAGGAACTGTGATGTACCATCAATGTAATTTTTTTAAAAAGAATACTAAAGCAGAAAAATATAAATAAACAAATAGTTAGACTTGAAATCGGAGTCGTGAGAGAACGAGAAAACACATATTGATCGTAGTAGCGCATGTCGTGTCAGGGGTCATTCGCAAAGCTGTGGACACCTTGGCCGGATTGTATTTGGGATGTGCTCGTGTCTCGCGGATGTTAACAAGTCTTCAATCAATTTTATTAATAATTTAATTGTTGTTGAGACGTTTTGAATTATAATTTTATTACAAATTTTCGCATGAAACGTAGATGACAATAATTTAATTCCTTATAGTTTGTACATTATCTACAAGTTAACACGATTGTTGAAAGTTTCTGCTAAATGACTGATTATCTACGTACGAGCAGATTGTTGGAAGAAACGTCATTAACAAGACGTTATAATGAGTCTGTATCTGAAGAATGTCCCTGATGCCATGTAACACAAGCGGATCGCGTAAATGACATAATGGTCTCTCATTCAAACTGTTCTCCTTGCCATCACAGAAGACATACGGCAAAATTTTATTGTTATGGAGTGGTTTGATACCGATGTGCTGCATATAGAGCCCAAAACAAGCATCTTCAACTGGTATGATAGGAACCTCCTGAGACGCGATGAGAAGTCTGGGCAAGAGATTTGCGCTGAACACGTAACCCCCACCTGAGGCATATGGTGGGTACTTGTGTCTACTGACGTCCATCACCGATACGTAATAACGATTAGTTTTATCTCTCACAACTTCCATGTCCCTCTGAATATTACCCGCGTATAGCGGCCTTGATCCATTGGTCACGTGATATTCTTGTAGCCACTGAACAAGCGATAGAACGTTCACGTAGCAGTCATCGTCTGTCTTGAGAATATACTTAGGTTTGCAATAACGTGAGGTCCACTGAAGACCTAGTAAAGTCTTTAAAGACAGGTTACGGTATGTGTCAAGAAAATCTCCTATGACAATGTCCTTGTAAACTTGAGCTTCTTGCCTCAGCAGATTGTTCAGCTTGGAACTATTCGTTTTCCCAACCAAGAAAACTGTTTTCCAAGATCTAATTGAAGGAAAAAACGAAAGGTTCTCATTCCATAAAGCGTCAAACTGCTGAAGAGGTTTGTAAACGTACAATAAACTGTTTGTGATATTTAATCGCGTTCTAGTTTTATCAACTGACACACGCAACGCACAATTCTTCTATACGCTCTAACGAAGGGATAACACTCGGAACGTCAGCTTTAGAACTCTCTACGGTGGTAAATTTCTGTTGATAAACCATAATCATCCCCACCGAGGCAGCACCGCAGGTTTCTGTTTTGTAATCATACCCGTGATTGACAAATCGAAGTCCCGTTTCGCGGTCGTGCGACTTTGTAAATCACTCGTATGCTTACAGAGCAAATTGGACCCCACTTGGTCCTATTACCATCATAAATCGAATTTACAGGTGGCTTAAAATCCTTATTTTATGATGTGGACTGATTTGTCTGTGCGTGCCTACGAGAAGTAACACCGAGGAAGTATAGTTATTATGATATAGCGAAAAAGTGAAATCATTGCGAGTAAACAAGTCACAAAATATTGTTGTTTTGTTAACTGAACCAGCAGGTTTGGTCAACTAAATAAGACGTACTTTTTTTCTATTTTTTTTTTTTTCGAGGCGACGAGTCTGCTTATTCATTTTATGGCAAAGGTATGGGACTAGATGTTTTTTAGTATCATGAAATCCAATTACCTTCCAATAATGCGGGTTTATCACAGTGCGAGGGAACATGAAGTCAAGTGATCAAAAATCAGACGGAAAGACGTCTTAAAAATGACAAAATTTCCTTAAAATATCTTAAGAACATTTTTCGACCTATTTACCGCCAAAGAATCATAAATCCGGCCGTATATAAACTTTTGGATTAAACTTTTGGATTAAACTTTTGCATTATATATGCGGGGCATTTCGAAAATGCTCACAACTGCCTACGCAGTTGGAGTATTCCCAAAGACACACCGCTGGCATTCAGCAGAAACCCTTTGCACAAATATTCTAGTAATGGGCCATTTTATCAGTTTTCACGAAGTAGTTACGCTGACATGCTGACATATTTATGGCTTTGGCTCATCATTGTAAACTTATGACGAGGCACATTCTCGGTTTTATCAGATCTGAGATTTGCTTGTTAAAACTGTGGACTCAGTAAATGATATTGGCTGCTGCAGACATTGTTATGGGATGAAGGCTCAACAATCAGTTCTTCTTGGTTGCGAGACAGGCCACGAGTCACGGAAAGAATTTTTGCTATTCATTTGGAAGGGAGACATCTTCCGAAAACTAAGTAGTGGCGGGCATAAACGAACCTTAACGTGCATTAGGCATTTTCGTGAGCCCTCTCAGCTGCGGTTGTGGTTGATGTTGATGTTGATTTACACTTCCCAAGGAGTTCATAAACGGAAAAAGAAACGATGAAAAAATAGCTCTACGATCTGTATACTATAATTAAATCATGCGCACATTTTCTGGAAATCTTGTTACAAAGGGTGATATTCCTCTAAATCATGATAGCCTTAATTGTAAAACAGAAGGTAGAAGCAAATTTGTCGTTTTTGACGACGTATGCATTCCCAATTCCCGAATCAGCAAGACCCTTATGGGTATTGGGTAGGAGATGGAGGTAAGATAATTCATCGCCAAATCACTTTTCCCTCAGGAAAGTCTCAGAGATAGAGGAAACCATCTTTTTCTCTCTCTCCCTTCCTCTCCACCCACGCCACGCCAGTCATAGTTACGTGCCCACAAAAGGGTGAAAAGCACGCGATTGCGTGTAGCAGTAGTGGAATAGTGTGGAGTGGCTGACTTCCTGAATAAAACAAAACAAGTACGGTAAATACCTCTCAGAACTTGTCCAACTGCCCTGATTTACTGGATTATCTTCTCGACCCCACGACAAACGTATGGATTCTCTATCCATGAAGTTAACAGGATTTGAGTGAACCATGATTAAGAGAAATGGAACCGGAAGGCAACGGGAAAGATGAAAGTGATTTACAAGTATTTGTTCTTCCTGCGGTTCCTCTTGCAAGTTGTTGAGTTCATACTGTTTAGCAATAGTTTGTGAAGATGCCATGTATCTTTGAACCAGCTCTTTCAAATCTAAATTCAGTAGTTCCAGGTAGCTTAAACTTGGTCCCGTGGCAGCTTTGATATCCGCGTCTATCTGGATGCTTGCTATCTGTCTTCGAAGGACGCTTGACGAAGAACGTTGCATTGTGTAAAGCTCGAGAGTATCCCTCAGGTCGGCGAGGAACGTTAGGTAAACAAGATTCATGAATCCAGTTAAAGATGCCAGCAGAAGAAGATACCGGATCCTGCAACACTTGTTCATTTTGTGCCCCATGTGTGTCAAACAGTCTGTATATGAAAAAGGAGGAAATTTCTCAGTAAGTACAGGTAGGAACTAGATTTCATTCGTACAAAGGCTGTCTTTGTTATACGAAGGCAAGTCTGGTTATTGACACTACTAAATGAGGTGACCGGCCTCTGATTCTCCACTGCAATAATCAATCCAGGTGATAAGAACGCACTGATACACTTTTTGGTAGAAAAGTTGTTTAGAAAATAATAGTTTACATAATAGCTGCTGCTTGAAATGTCACGGTCTCGAGAAGTGTATAAAGTCAACCGTGTTTTACTGGTTCAGTGTTAACGTTTTGTACCATATCGTTATTTATACTATAAACTAGTTTAACAGGTTGTATTGATGACGGAAAACTTCCTTTAGTCATTAATGATGACAACGATCATTTGATGGAGCCGGGACTCAAACAAAAGACATTTTCAAGGGTTCCGCATGATAGTCTGTTACTTGGTAAAAAAGCTTTACTGACGGCAAGGTACCTTAGGTAAAATTTGTACATTTTTAATGGATAGCAAGTTGGTAGATGTCTTCCGGAGAATAAAAATATATGGATTGTCATTCACCATGCATTCGTTTCGAGCGCCGTGCCTCTAGACATTTGACTGAACAGAAATTTGACATAATAACAAATGCGTGAGCAGTAATGTCGTAATATAAAGGATCCACGTTAAAATGTGCAAATCAACATTTGAACAGATAGAACGCTCAGTTGAAGATAGAATAAACCACAGGAATGTATAGTCGGTGGTGAAAAAATAAAGATAAATCGGCTTAAAATATCAGCATAGTACTATTAAGTTTAAACAAAATACGACGAAAAGTATGAGTGATCACGGACGTTAAGATAAGGAGTCGTCTGTTATTTTTACTTCTTTTCCTTTTGCTTTTATGTTTATCATAGGAAATGACCTTCACAAGAATAAGTGAGGGTCCAGTTTGATCAAATGACACACACACAGACAGAAACCTCAAATCTTTAAAGCCCTGAGGCGTTTTAAGGGAATCAGCGCCTGCTTTTAAATTGTCGTAAGTAATTCGCTTACAGCTAGAGTTAATTGATTTAAAAAACATCAAGATTATAACCTACTGATGATGCCAGATCAGGTAAAAACTTGTGCAGGAATGTTTATGTTGTTCAGTCGTTGGCGTGCACCGGAGACTAAAGATGAAGGTCAGGTCAAGTTCGATTTTGTGTAAATCATAGGGATTCGTAAATAATATGTGTGACTATCGGCGAAAGAATGATAGGAAATGGCGTTGTCGGAAACCGTCCGGAAAAACACAATGTTAAACATTGTTTTTGATGGCGAGACACAGAATTAAGACAAAGATGGCCAATTATCAAGCAATATGTTGTGGTTTTGTACACGATTACCAGCAGAGCGAATTCGAATATGTAAAAAAAAGCCTCAAGCTGGCAAGTTCATGATTCGAAAACTTGTTCCTATTTTCGTACTTGAAAACGTCTGAGCCTTGACCTTCAACAAAGGGAATTCTTAGAATTTTTCCCAGAGGCCACTGATCAAATCGAAGAAAAAACAGAATAGCAGTTTTATAAGCTGCCCTAGTGGACCGCGCTCTAAAGACGAGGAGGTGAGAAATTAATTGAGTAAATTCACACTCTTCATTTAAAGTTACATCGCGTATAAAGCTAGAATTTCTATCACACGAATGTTTGTTATGAACAATGCCATTCAAAAAACTCGAGAATATTAATGTATTTTAGGCTTGATGGAATTACACGTATGATGAAAACCTTGGCCTTAAGTCAGACAATTTCCTGTTTATTATAGCTGACGTAAGCAAGTCTCGTTAATCACGAAAAGAGGCTTTGTCTAAAGTCTATCATTCAGTATATAGAATGATAAAATGAAATCAATTTCTTGTCTCTACTACAGTGATAATTGCCTATATTACAGAATTTAGCTTAGAACTGCCTTATCACAATTTTTTTAATCCAGTTTCCGTCATTGCATTGAGCAACGTTTGGAAATGTAACCTTTCCAAGAGGGCGTGATGTGGATTTTTTAATGACTAATAGGAGAAGAATTTGTGCTATGGGGCGATTTTAAAGGCCTTGTTGTTAAGTATTTTCAAGTGAAAACAAAACAAGACGCATTTACCTTGATATGATGTCTTAGAAAGAACGAGAAAATCCTCACATGTCGGTATCTGCTCGTGTTCTTGGACACAAGAATGCATGACATTTTTTTCTTTATCGACTGGACGACATTTTCAATACCTTTCCAGAGTGCTCGAGGAGATAACTGCGATCACACAAAGTGCAAGTTTACCTTGTTTCCCGGAAGCTGTTAAGTGTTAAAATAGTCCTAGATATCAGAACCGGGCTCAAAATAACCGGTTATCAGTCCATGTGTGCGCGATAGTCCGACTGGTTATGGTAACCCTGCGGCGACTAGGATGAGTCTCACCTGAAGTCGCCGCTCGACATAGGCATGGACTTTGAGATACTGTCACATGATTACTGGACTCTGGAACTCTGTAATAAGGAATAGTAGTCGATCATCTGATCTTTAAAAGTTCGGAGGAAACTCATAGATTGGTTATCCGAGGGCAAAAATAAGCCCGTTAACCTATTTTCAAGAGTGCTAACTGACTGTGAAGAAATTTGTGATTCGCGAGAGCACTGAAAATGCTTGATTGGAAAAAACTGATAACACCCCACGCCTTTACGTCGATCTTTGGAGAGCTTCATGTTCACCTCACAAAAAAATATAATCGCGGTCGGAAATATTGATAGTCATCGGCTACAATATGACATGCAAGGTGCAAATGTCGGTTTTCACCTGGATCCGACTGAGCTTCGTATTTTCCGTTTACATTTGTGGGGTGCATCTCTTGAAATTTCGTGACCGTGTTCCTTATTGTGGAGTTTTTCTGATCAACAGCACTAGACTGACAACAATAATATTTGAACTGAGCAAGCGTGAGTTGGCTGAGGAAAATGAACAGGGCCAAAGGGTTAATTATCGGGCGCAAAAAAGTTCAAAAGATCATACTAGAACTTATGCCCGTGAACTGACTCTATCTTATATCTACAGGCTTCTACCCTTCACGTTACAGAGGAAGGAGCGCTAGTAGAAACGATTTATTTCCGCGAACACTTGTCGGTTAGGAATATGGGAATTTCTTTTATAAGTCTACCCAAGAGATCGATGGTTCCAGCGGATCTGTTGCCATGAAATCTTATCATTCTTAATCAGTTGCAGTACTTTAAAAGCGTTACCTAGCACTCTTAAACATTCCCGAGTCTCGTCATATGCAGCTTTTGCGAGACAAAACTGAACTTTGGGACAAAAGTATTGGTGAACATGTTGTCGGCTTCTGAGCTTGATTGATTGATCACTTACGCCGGCAATTTGGCTAAAAAATAGAAATGCCCCATGCTGTTTAAACAATTCATGGTACAAGCACGAAACACGAATTAAAAAGTCATGTTCACGGTCCGCAGTGAAAGATATTTGTTATAATAAAGTAAAGTTGTATTCTCTCCGATTGTGATTTGTGTGAATTCTAATTCAGGGAATTGAGGAAGGCGGTGATCAGACGTCCTCTGGATGTCACATAATATTACGAAGCAGTCAATATAAATCTGATATATTCCTTGCTTAATCATATTCATAAATCAATAAAGCTGCCATCTATAAAATTTTCAGCGTCCTCTTTTCCTTATCTACGATCAATAATATTACTTAAACAAACCAAACAAACCAGTCCTATCAAATCGACAGTTTGAATGGAAACCTTGCACATGAAAGCGATGACCGCGAATCGCTCAACTATATACATGGATCAACGCAAACGTGGAGGAATATGATTGTATACCAAAATGCTCAGAGTTTTTGGATTGGTATATTCTAAATTCACATGCCTCAGTATTAGATAAGTTTTTTTCTGCTATGAGTTAGCTAGGTCGGGTGTAACACGCGAACTGTAAGTCTCTGCCACAGGTCCAAACTCGACTTGTTGATTGACTATGAACTAACTAAGGCGAGTGTAACACACGAACTGTAAGTCTCTGCCACAGGTCCAAACTCGACTTGTTGATTCACGGAACTTTATAGAAGGATCATAACTTTTTGTGGTTAACTTTCAATTGTCGTCTCATGCTGTTCTATTGGCAAAACATAGTCAAGTGAACACGTTCGTGCTGAGAGCTGTTAGGTGCCAACAGATAACCGTGTTAACATTGGCAGAACTCGTAAGTATCTTGACTGGCCTTAAATGACTTAGGAAATCTCAAAACAGCTTTTTGTATAATCTGTCAATAAGGTACTAAAAAATCGGGAGAATGCCGAGCAACTCTGAAAGGGAGGGTCAGTGGAGGATTCTTATCTATGCTCCACAGCTGAACAAACTTAACACGGCAGCTGGTACTGGACGAACCGTAAATAAAGATACTGTTTAAAAACCGACCACCGAAAACGAACCCAGCCGTTATTTCGTAAACAACAGATCCAAATTGATTAAAGGTACTGGCCGTTTCAGAACTAATGGAGATTGCAGCATTCAAGCCCGAGGAAAAACTCAAAATGTGCCTTGATGAGTTTTTTTCTTACAGATGTCTGGTGCAAAGATAAAATACTCTGAACGCTGTACAACGAAACACGTGCACCTACATTACACTAAGGAAAAAGTGTGAATAACTCTTTTAGTCTAAATAAACGAGTTTCAGTTCAAGAAATACATAGCTCGTTCCACCATCACCTGTAATGATGACGTTAGGGATATCATTAATTATAACAGACCAAAAAGTAGACAAGGAAATTAAGAGGTGAAACGACAAATTTTGGAAATACTGTGGAACGTTCTGCGCATAAATTTCGCGTGGGAAAAACGAGGATACATGCCCTTGAGCCATAGTCTCTCTTTTATAAATACAATTAGTGCGTTGATGAAAAACTTCATTTGCATGCAAAGTTACTTGCCTCTTTTTACTATTCAGAGTAGGACTTCCTTAGATATCGCCTTCACTAGCTTTTCCTTTCAAATCAACCTTTAACTTTTTTTTTTGACCACAAAGAGATAATTTTATTTTGCTAAAGAGCTATCGCGTTTAGCCTGTGTACAGCCGCCCCGTGGTGGCTGTACACGGGCTATATCGCGTTATAATGATCATAGATAGGAAGCTGAACACCACCCATTTCGGAAGCATGCATATTTCACTATATTTTCGTTCAAACTGAGAGACTTGCGTTACGGATGATGTCAGACTTGACAAAAAATATGGCTCTCGTGTATTCGAAGAGTTGAATTAGTGCTCTCTCAAATCGTATTGACCACAAAGAGAGAGATTTCTTAAATTCAAAATGAATATGAAATTTTCAAACAGAAAGATGAATAATACAACTAACCAAAGATTCTTATAACAATTCAGCACCTGTGCTGCAGCAAACATTAGTCATTTTTGGAAATGTTCGGAACCCAATACAATACTCTAAAACGCCGAGAACATCTTATTCATGATATTTGAAACAGTATTGCTCCATTTTCCTCGAAGAAATCGATTATCGGCGAATACATGTACTATGGCCTTTGAGGCAGCTGAATCGGGGACTGCGCTCAACACAAAACAAATCGTTTCAAATTTATGTTCAGCTTTTTTGTTCGGTAGAAAGTTAATTATACTGTAACAAGGTGGCTTAACTGAAATAGCTTATAGAGCACAGATGAAGCACGTAGATAGCACAATATTGCAAACTATACTAACCAGCTATTTCTAGTCGTACTGATGTAGTTGCAGGATAAAAGGAGTCCTCACAGACATATATATATACTCAAAAAGTGAGCATTTCGACGCAACAGAAACCTTCTGAAGCTTGGAATAAGTCCGCTGGTCCATAAAAACGCACGTGTCCGCTAAACAAACAGTATTCACACATCTGCAAAACCACGTGGCTAGCTAATCGTCACAGGTGTGCTACTGTCTGAAAAACATGGAGTTGGTCTTGTTGTCATTCATATGCCATGCCTCACAGGTCACCTTTGTTTGAGCTGGTAGTGATTAAACCATTATTGATCGCGCGGTTAAAGGTTTTCTGCCAGGGAAGTGGCGTGATTGTCGGTGAAACAAAGGCTTTTCTGCATTATATAGATCAAACTCTTACAAGTCTATTAAGCATGCAGTTCCCAAGTGGTAAACATACTCGGTCGGAAATTAAAGCAAGTACTTTTCGAATTCGGGCCAGTCGAAAAGAAAATTGGCACTCATTGTGCACGTAGTATTTAGTAACAGTAAAACTTGCAACTGCAGATCGACTACTACACCTCTAGTGTCACGGTTTCTTGATTGCACTCTGAGACCTGTACAGATCCTTGCAATATGTTGTGATGTCAAAATAAACTACGACACGTGTATCGTATATTTCCTTTAAACCACGGCCTTGAGAAGCAAAACCCATTGAATCGGATTTTGTACGGTTTCCTTTGCTCAGTACAAGGTACTTAACTGAGGATTTGAGATTATCCATCGCTATAAACTCAGTATCTTGCAGCGCCATAATTTGGTTATCACCAATTAAATGTGCTGAGACACCGCACGAAGACATATACACGATATGTCGTGATAACTGGCGCTAGTTTTCGGTAGGCGATCGCTTAAATCTCTTTGAAGACAGTTTACAACAAATATCAATCCGCTGGTTTTCTTTCTGTAATCCATATAATATTTACGGGCCAAGGAAAAACAGGTAAAATTCAAAGCACTGCTTGTATTATTAATCTTACTGCAAGTTAAAAAGCTCACCTGTTAGCATGTCAAAACACCCCACCAGAGTTGATCCGACCAGTCAAGAAATGCTGAAACTCAGACTCTATCGAGGTATGTCTGCTCTGCTAGAACAACATCGATGTTTTGCTAGTTAGTCATCGATTATGAAGTTAAGTGCCGCCATTAGTGCTAATTAAAACCTACTACAAGCAGGGTGTAGAGTTTGTAGAGGACGCACTTACTCTGTCCTGTACAGTGCATGAACTCTCTATGAGCTCATCGTCCTTGCGATCAATTCAGGGTAAAGATCGTGTTGCATATATACTTAGGAATTCAGAGTGGGCGAAAATAAGTATGGTCTAATCGGACCTGCCTAAACATGTCTTTTATTTTGAAAATAAGCAAACAGTAAATAGGCTTTTGGGAAATACCTAAAGAACGTGTTGAACAAAGACGGTTCCGTTGTTGCGATAAATATTCGCCGTAAATTTCCATAACAATTGATTATAACGCTGTCGTGACAGTTCATGGTCGACACAAAGGCGGCAAACGCTGATAAACAAGATGACAGTCAACAAGAACACTCTTCAATCGCTGACAATCGTTCTTATCACTCTCCAGCTCTTACAGGAGGTTTTTGGCGCCGAATACAACACCGTCAAGTGTCGAAATTAGGAGAAATTTTACAATAACAATATGGCACTTCAATGTGCATTCATAATAACTCTTAGCTAATTTGCGTGATCAATATTTTACTGCTAACAATATGAAGACTGTGGCTGCTAAATAGCGAGCCACTTCAAAATAGGTCAAAGTATTTGTGATCAGCAGAATTTGAAATATTCTGGACCAAGAACTTCAAGAATGTACCAACTCTTTCAAGCAATGAAATCTTGCTCAAATTCTGTTTGCATACGGGGTAATTTCCCAACTGTTTGAAATATCTCTAATTCCTTCTTAGCATTATGTTATTCCAAACAGTCTCGAAAATGATGCGTGTGAATAACGCAAGCATAACTGCGTGGGAAGATGGCTCTATGTCACTGACTCTAAGATCAAGAACAGCTTTCTCTTTGGCCAACAAAGATGAACAATTGGATCAGTCCCAAATAAGTTTATTGTTCTTTTATCAGACCATCATTTTATGAAACGATTGGGTGAAATCGGACAATGTTGTTCATAAATGATCATGACCTCACAGAATCTTCTTGCGTCACAGATACAAGACCTATTAAATAAGACGGAAAGTAGTTGTAAGTTAAATAAGACATTTGTCTCTAATGCCACGATCTTTGATTCGCACAAGGATTTAATTAACCGCGTAAACAAGACGCAATTGGAACAACGCCGCTTTGCTTAAAAGTCCTTCACTAATTTAGATCGGTCATTTAGGGTTGATGACCGTGTTCTGAATCGTCTGAAGATTTAGAAAGTAATAGGATTTCGCTTATTCGCTGCAGCTTTATACCACTACAGTTCTTAATACACCGACTAAGATAAGACACTTCCAAAATATACCGATTGAACTTAAGAGCGAAAATTTGGGTTCTCGATTGTTAATTGAAATAGCAATGACAAACATGTAGGAAAATAGATTTTTTGTGGTTTTGATTTGCGCGTAGGGATAAAAATCCAATTTAAATTCTGCAGAGGTATTTAAATTACCAATGCGGAGAGCACAAAGTTACGTAGATTACTGTCTGAGCCTGTAATCTACTGCTTTTAATTGGCATTCCCTTGTGCAATGTATTGAGACTGAATTTCTTGAGGGAAAATTAATATAAGCCAGTTCAATTTGTCAAAGGTGAAAACGTTTAATCCCACCCGCGTCGTGGGACATGCTATCGCACATAATGAGTAGAATTCTTATAATCGGAACACGACAGAAAGATTTGCTTCTTTTGACTTCTGGTAATCAGACTTAGGAGAAAAAAAATGTTGTATTTCTTACTAGAATTCATTTTAGAAAAATCGTCGATTGATGGCTAACAGCAGAACTACAGGCGATCAGTTGTGAGTACTCGCAGACAGTTCAATAATTTGCTGATCAAAGACAAACAGATTAAAGTGACCTAAGTCGTTTCCATTAGTAACAGACAAGTAATAAAATAAAAGGAGTAAACGAACGAACGAAAATGGAACGAACTATTTAAAAAAAAGCGCCAAGAAAACATTCTTACAAACAAACAAACAGACAAATAAATAAACAAACAAACAACGAAAAACGAACAAAACTAAAACAAGCAAACTCTTATTTAGGGAAAAGCGCCCTATTTCTAAGTCGATAAAATCATTATGTCATCGAATAAATATGCTGTATTTTTTTTTTTAATGGATTACGATCTTTAAATTAGCTACGTGGAAAGCTAGACTTTAATAGCCTCAGAGAGTTCTATTCCGACAGTTAAAGAAAGACAGTATTTATCAATTTGCCTCTGATCGAGGGACAAAGAACGATAGCCAGAGTCCTCAACAAGGAAGCGAACGTCAGAGCATCGAAAGTCACTCTCTGATGCTATATATCACGCCTAAGCCATAGAGGACGTTTTGGCAAGCGAGGTCATATAATACAAAGTTGATTTTGTGGTTTTTGTTTTGCGCACTGCTAGGACCACACTGTGGATAGCATCTTGTGGGTAAGTTAACGAGTAAAGAACTTTTATTCTACAAGCGCATTTAAAATTTACCTTCGTCCTCTTTATGTTTGTTGATTAACAGGTTTTGGGTAGATTTCTCATAGTTGAAATTTAGAATTAACCATTGGAATATTTCTTTCGAATCGAGTCTCATTGATAATGGTACCTTAAGTAGAGAGAACATTTTATTGCAAAAATGAAGCAATTACTCTTGTGCACTGTGTGTTGCACTCCGGCAAGGGATATATCATATCCTTGTAACGTCGCTTCTGAGGGAGAAAAGAAGCAAACAATGAACTTCCTTTCGAAAAAGGCTTTCAGAAAGACACAGCAGCGCAAATACGCGTTTACTGATAGGTTCATGTGCATCAAGTATGGGATTATTTAAGTTCCGTTTTTAAGGCCTAAGATGACCAACCTTTTCGAAGTAGTTATGTAATTTCACTTTCATTAACCAAAGTTGTCTTTAATTATCGTTTACATAAGTTTCCTTTCACTCTCGTTCACTCACTTTAACATTTAAGTGGGGTGATGGAAATAAGAATAACGTACTCCTTCATAACAACAGAAGACCAAAAATTTCGTTTGCTACAGGGATTTTTGACGTGGAATCAGATTTGAATTTGACGCAGTATTTTGACACGAATCACTCTTTAAGGAAGCTAGCTTCTTTAAATATTTGGGAGTCACACTCAGTGGCATCACAGGCAAGATAAACCAGCAACACGGACTCATTTAGAAAATCCTGGCTCTTTTACTATTACATGGTTGCTTGACACTCTTCCATTTCCTGATTCTTCCCGGCACTCTTTGACTGTGGTCATATCATTTGGGGTGAAACAAACAATACAAAACAGTGAACTATCCTACAAAACAAAGTAGCGAAAATCATCTTCGAAGAACAAAAATACTCCTCCTCTACAGAATCTCTCAGGACATTACATTGGAAACGTCCGCATCATAAATGATATGTTATGTAGACAACGAATTTAAAGATCAGATTCATGGGCAAAATACACCTTTATTTCTAGCAGTAATGGAGGCTCTTAGCACAATATAGTACGCACATCTAGTATCTTGTTACGTCTCTTCGTTCCACAAATTTATGAGAAAGCTAAGTATGAAAAAAAATACGACCTATGCATTTTTGGCGTTAATACTTCATGTTTTGTTTACGTTTTGATAAAACTTTATCCAGCCAATATTTCAACCCCAGCTCCTCCTTATCGTCCCGTGCGATATCTCTGGCGAGGTCTGGAACCGATACAAGATCATTACCACTTGCTTTTAGTCTCCGGTCTTCTGGATTCCGCTTCAATAAATTGCAGTATTTTTCTTCGCATTTTTCCTTGCTATTAACACAAACGATGGTGCATTGATTTGGGTCTTCGCAAATGGCCATGCATTGGTCATAAGTTGTGAGGCAGCAATAACAATCACTGCATGCACTACTCACGGGCCGAAAAGTGGAATATGCGAGAACCAAGATTCCAATATAAGCAGCAGTCACAGTCATCTAAAAATTAAAATGTAGCAAAAAAATTGGAGACATGTCAGCGTTCAACTTTGAAATGTAAGTTATGTCATCTTTATGTCCAATCTAAGGAACGCAAAGGCAGAGAAAATTGAACTCGTCCATGCCTATTGTCCAGTGACATGTGTGACGATAGTTTTTGACCGTGTACTAGACTGTTTTCCCGAGGAACGCAGCAATAACGGGGAAAAAATGCTCAGTGAAGCACCACTGGCTTACGGGAATGAAAACTCTTTACGATTATCTGGTACAAGGCGACCTGCTTCAATGGATGAAGAGAATATAAACTGTTTATAATCTCTTGAAAGGACTTATTTTGGTCGTCAAGTTTAAAAAAACTCAGCTAGGTTCCAGCAGAACTTTACTCTAGTTCATGGCGAACTCTGACACGAACGTCAGCGTACTCAACAAAAATCTCCGGTGTAATCTCAACATGATGTAATCACCACATAGTGATCGTTTTAATCCAAAATAAAGGAATGGATGTATCGATGATCAAAAAACCTTCTCGATGAACTTGCTTAAAACGGTACTATCGAGCACGTAACTATTTAAATATTATTGCAAAAGAAGAGGAAAATGTCTCTTTGAAGTTATGCGTTTCAAAATTCCATCCGTTTCTACGGAGTGAAAAATTGTAAAATTAAGAAAGCGGATGGAATAAGCATTAGGACATTAAGAAGAGAAAACTTAGGTCAAAATTCACGGCTTTGAAACCAAAACAACGACCTTCACTACGGCGGAGCAACGTAGGAAGTAGAAGTGAGATTTTGATGCTAAGTTTGAATAAGCGGGGACTTAGACAGGTTGATGCAGAATTTATGTAGTACATTGTGTAAGTGCAGTGAGGCATTTAAGCGAAAAGCAGGCTCCCGTGACCAGATTGTAGTTAACCGCCCTTTAGTATATATGTTCTGATCAGGTGCTAATTAGATTTTTACATCAAACTAAATTTTGACTGAGTGATTAACTTATCATGAACATAGTTCGTACGGTTGTACTAAGTATTAATGACTCGTGACTTCAAAGTACCAGAGGGGAACCGTAAAAAGTCACAGAATTGTACTGTTTTATCCCTTTAAAATCCCTGTGGCATTTTTCTAGGTAAACTCGTGTCTATGAAACCAGTCCCTCCGCGAATTTGCCCGGTTGAGTGTATTAAGAAGAGTTGCTGTTATATCGCACCGCTTGATAAAATCAAAATTCTTCTCCAAAAATTTCATTTTCTAAATAGCATCAAAGCATGTGTAAGACCATACATATAGATGGAAATCGTTCAAGTTTTAACAGAAAAGAAAGGGCGAAATAGGAAACGAAAATTGACGCAACTACAGACAAATTCCATGAAGTTCAACGCCAATTGACCAGTATTCTATATTTTGAAATAAGGCCTACCTTCCAATATCGCCTGAACAGCGGAACGCTTCTCTGCTACCTTAGTGAAACTGAACCTGGGGTTCTGGGTGTTTCTAAGTTGGACTGTTATTCACTTATGACTTATAACCGTTAACAACCATCCGGTCTCGTGGTGCGGGTGTTCACGATTAATGGAAGTTGAAAGCGGTATCTATTTACTTTTAATGGAGATTTAGTAGCGTCCGCTTGGTAACGTTATTTAATTAAGTGTAGGAGGGTTCTTTGTAACGTGTTTGTGGCGGCAACTGTTTGTTCAATTTCATCAATTGAAATTAAAATAAAAATAGAAGATAAAAGACACGTTCATCTCTTTACAGTTGCTTCAACATTTAAGCTTTTCTAAGGTTTTCTTAGTGTTATTTGCACTCAGTAGTTATTGATGAAGTGAAACGACCTATTTGATCGAAACAAGACAGTAAATAAGTAAAGTCTGATCCTGTTTTTGTACCAAATGATTGAAGTGTTTCTTGAGATAACGGTTTTCAAGACGATATGAAGTGAGCAAGAAATAACTTTGTGCTAATGTTGGAGTGACGCAGGAATTGTTGTACGCTAAGGGTACAAGTTTGACTGATTAAAACGTGAAGCTGTTTTGGCAGATTATACACTGGAAAAAATTGACAAACGATTTACGCCTCTGCGTCACCAGGAGGCTTTGAAAAAGTTTGGAAAGGTGATAGTGATTATAAATATATACGACTTTTTTTTTAAACATGTATACTTATTTTGCAGTCATTATTAGATAAGAGAACATGAGAAATAATTCAGTTGTCATTCAATGTTATGAAAATATTAAAAACTTGGAATACCAAGGCAAATAAATATCAGCGATAGGATAAATTATTGACAGATCAAACCTCAGGGACTGATCTTTTCAAAATTTACGATTAAATACTTCGTGAGCGTGAAATAAAGTAAAAAAGACATGAATTTTCTTGGTCTAAAAAGAGTAAAAATGAGAAAAATCTTGAACTATTAACCATTTTTTCTGCCTTTTGTTTGGAGTTATGTTATTGAAAATTTTTGTTTTCTCGTAAAATACAATAATTATTACATAATTATTTCATGTGAAAGAAAGTCTACTACTGTACAACATGCTGATGCTGTATCTGTTTGTGTCAGCCAAGGACACATAATACGGAAAAAAAATCTGATTTTCGTGGGCTGGAGGAAGTGAGTACTGCTGAGAGTTTTATTGCTTTTATAAGAAAATAAAGAAAAGAAAAAGGGAAAACTCCTCTCTCCTCCACCTGGCCTGCACACTGTCGTACTCCCTGGCTTGGAGTTGGAACTGTTACAAATCTTGTCAAGGGAATTTCTTCTGTTATCGATAAACAGTGAGAAATTTGTACCGTGATGAGCAAGTTTAATTCGATTTTTTGGGAAAAAATGCTTGATAATGTTCCGATTGTAGCCATGTTCGGCGTTGCCTTTGATTTCAGTATATTATGCCCTTACTTTTTCTACAGGATATTATGTTATCTGTTTGGTCGACGAAAGCACACGTTTTGCTTATCTCAGATTAAATATTCGACCAATCAGAATTGCAGACCACACAAATAAAATTGGCAGTTCAGGAAATGAATTTTTGCCTCTAATGTGTTTTTGGTTTTGCAGGATAACCAGAATTCGTCTTCTAATAACAAGCTTCTTGTTTTAAAGGTTCAGTAAATAGCATCGTTGGAAGCAACTACTGGACGCTGTCCCATGAGAACAAGACCCACGAAACTTGTAAATTTTCATAAATCTTATTTGAGAACAGAGTAAGCATAAAAATAAAAGCTCATCATAGTGAAAACTTATATAGGATAAAAGCATAATCACCAATCAACAGTCTAACTAAAATAATGTTATGATGTTCTGTTCGGTGAACTGATTAAGCCTCTGATATCGATAGGACGACAGATATCTCTGCAAAACAAACGCGCTCTGAATAAAATTATGAATTTAGAGCTGTGTGATAGGGAATTTGATCGCGGATGGAGAACGCGGGCCTCAGCACAATGCAGGACCGTAGTATTGAATGACAAAGCAAATGAATACGGGTATAAAGCCAGGGCCGATCTGCTTTTTCAGGCTTCAGTAGCTGTAGCGTTATAAAGGTAGCTCAGCGTAGTTCCCTGGCCCTCTTTCACGATACACAGCTGATTATGATTTGAAAAGGGTCACGAGATGTCACCTGGAAAGTATTTGATTCTTAACCATACTACTTTCTCAGTTACATTAGTTTTTTGTTAATTGTTCCAGATAACTACGTTATCGAGTCAATTATAAATCAGTGAAAATTCTGGAAAGGAGATAAAGAGATGGTAGTATTCATTTCCGAAAAGAGAAAATAATATGATTATCCTCACCCTTGCAGACTGAAATAACGTGTTGAGTCACCTGTTAGGGAAAAAGATGACATAACTGAGATGTCTAGGTGTACAGCACCGTAATGTTTTCGAATTACACTCCATGAATTAAGAAAAAATCGTACTAAGGATACGTTTTTATATAGCTGTAGAAACATACTAAATATAAGCCTGGGGAATTTTTCACTAATAATTATAAACTTTCATTACTAGCTAAATCTTGTCCGCGATACTTTTAGTTCCCCGCTCGTGCGTTACGATATATTCAATGAACCGTCTGCTGTAACAATAAGAGCAACATAACTAGCAACTATCCCAGCCGCTAGAATTTGTATTGATTTTTCATTTGTGTTTTTGTTTCGCTTAATTTTTTCCCCCTCGGCTTTACATACCCAGATCTTCCCATTGTTGATTTGCAGCGTGCCAGAAGTTTCTTTAGACCGGCTGCTATCTTGAAAAATATTGACCGAGAAACCGCTGGGAACGAGGTTGGAATTCCCACAAACCTGCCGCCATCTTAAAAACATTTCCCTTGGAGTTGGATAATTTGAAATATAAATATTTTCTTTGGAGTTTTCTCCGGACAGGCAGTCATTGAAACATCGGCGTCCAGACATAAGCCAACCTGGATATTTCCCTTGTATCTTAAAAAATACCCCCTGATTGTTCTAAACAGATGCATTCAAGTTGTTCTCAAATTAAAATTTAATATATAACATATACACCCGATGAATGAATTGGACATAAGAAAAAGCGAAAGGCAAAAGAGATAAAAGTAAGAAATTAAACGGAATTTGACTAGATTATAAAAAATTACGAAGTGTTATGTATGCTCAACAGCCCGCAGAATTTCCAGCGAGAGGTTTTACTCAAATTTCTCAATAGTACTAGAAGTTTGTTTAGATTAGTTTGTCAAGTGATTCCACAAAAACGGAATTAGGGAATTGTGTCCTTGCTACCAGTATCCCTCCTTTCACCTACCGCGCGACCAAAAAAAAAAAACGGGGCTCTTATAAATGGGAATGAACTATGCTATAGAGACAAACGTAATTTAACGACTAAACGAGAGGGGCATTGGGGCCTCTGGGAAACCGAAAATCCGGAGAAAAAAACCTCCAAAACCCAAAAACCGACAAAAAAAGGCAGCAAAACCGAAAACCGCATCCAAACCTGACAAAACTGCTACATTTTTACCTTTAAAGGGGTCAAAAAGGAAAAACCGAAAACCGCATCAGAATTTTCGTGAAAACCGAAAATCGAATGCAAAAACACGTAAAATCCGCAAACCGCTCTAAACATCAAAACCGAAAAACCGAACCTTTTTGGCTCAAAAACCGAAAAACCGGCGATCCAAAAAGCAGTCCAAACTGCAAAACCGAAAATCCCAAAGCCCCCCTCCTAAACAAAACCGTCTTTTTCACATTCGAGATCATTCATTTTTGACGTAATCTTAACGCACAGCCATTGTGGGAGTTTCGTTGATCGGGCAAGATTTGCTGCCTAAAAATGTAATCCAGGCTCCATCAGAGATTACTGAGAAAACACGCTATCCTACTTATGGGTCACGAACCAGTGCACATAGGATCGAATAAAAAATTGTTTTCACCTTAGGTCCCTTAGGTTTCATTCAGACTCGAGGAATTATGGAGTAAGAGTAACAAAACACAACAACAACCGTTCACAGAATCAGGCCGACAGCCGACAAGCAGCTTCCGCTTGTAAAAATGCCTAATCACGGCTTTCTAAACAAGCAATGATACAGATTACTTTCCAACCTGGTCACAAAGTTGACCATGCATGGTAGAAACTCTGTACGTTACAAATAAAGGGAAGCTGGCTAGCTTTGAGTAGTGAGATAGCAGAAACAACAACAGTAAAAAAAAGCTTTGAGAAATTTTGCACTTTGTTCATTTGTATTTTTCACAACTTTAAATAACTGACTGAAATTGCTGATCAATGGTTTGAAAATTTGACTCAACATGCAAATTATGTATTTATAATGAGAATTGAACTAGGTGGAATGCAAGTTGGTCTGAAATCATATACGTGATTTCAAAATCAAACGAGTGTGTAGCACTTTAGTACTAATAAAGAAAATACCTTTATCTTATCTAACTGATAAATAGTACTTGCGTTCGACTCTGTCCGCATGGGATTAGTATAACGTATCTGCCACTTTCTCGACATCCAGTGAGTCAAACATTGCTTCATCTCTTTTTCCACAAGCCAATATACACTTCCTCTTGAAATAATTACAATTATTTGTGCAATCGAAATCTTTGCAAACACCAAAGCATCGCCTGTAATCATCATTACACCTTATGCAACTATATTGTCTTGGTCTTGCATCTGCGGTCTGTAATACGTACACTGTGAGAACTAACGCCATCATCACGCACAGGAGGCGAGTCTTCATCTAGGATGCAATGATTAAAGAAACATCTGAAGTTTAACAGAGTAGGACTTCGTTTATTAAAATTAACCAGGAAATCAGTACTGACTGGATCAACCAGAGATGACGAGTTCGAGTCAGTAGCTGATTGTGAATGGCAGTAAAATGGTAGCTATAACAGCCAAGAGAAAATAATTTATAACAACTTTATTTTTTCCATGCATCAACAAAGAGCCAGTAGCCGTAGTCTTTTACAGGAAACTGACGCGATCGATAACGACTGAGTCAACCAAGGAATTGGTAATTATATCAGACAAGCGGCCTCTGGCCAACACCCTCGGACATGTCAATTCCATTGAAATTCATTGTCGTTTCTCGTTTGCTGAGACGATGTTTGGAACGACAGTAAACTGGAAGCGGACAAAGAGGATTGAGGTGTTATCGATGAAACTAACTCCGATTACGAAGAAAACTGGCATTTCTGCATCCGCTTCAAGTTTAAAATTAC